CGCCTTCTTCTTTCATTCCCCCTCCCCTCCCCCCCTTGAATAACGTTACACTATTATTTATACTGTAATGGATCTAAATAAATAAATTGCAAGCTGAAAGCGTCATAAATACGAGATCACCCTCCCCGTTTCTTTCTATCCTCCGACAGCGCCGGCGTTGTTTCCCTTGATCAAAAGAATAAATCGCACAGAAAGAGATCTTGTAGTGTAGTGAAGAAAAAAAAAAAAAAAAAAAAAAAATAGACGAGGCAAGAAGGGTAACGTTAGTCAAATTGAACTCGATGAAACGACGAAGGCCGTCGTGGCCGGTTCACGACGCGACGAGATGCGAGTGAATTTTTTCTCAGCTTTCCATTTAACCGATTTAACAATTTATGCATCGCGGACCCGGGAACAGCTTCGAAACACGGGGATTTACTCTCTTCTACGGCCTTTATTCTCTCTCTCTCTCTCTCTCTCTCTCTCTCTCTCTCACTCGCCTCGGCTTCCATCAGCCGTCGAACGATGTAATTCCGTTCCTTTGTTATCCTTCAAATTGTTTCTGTATTATCGGCCGAACAAACATCTAACGCCGCTCTATTATCATTGTTATTATCATCGCGCTATAACGTCGACATCGATGAAACGCTGCAACCAAGAGGGACCATGGGCTCTCTTGTCTCGCGCGGTAAACGTGCACAAATTGAATTCTTCTTGAACGAGCGACGCTCGTAGTTACAATCCCCCTCCCATCACTTTTTCGTGCTTCGTTCTCGCGCTTTTGTCGCAGTTCAAACGCATCACAAGCACACGTCGCTTCAACGTTTTTCATTTAAAATATTTCTCCGCTCCTTGAATTTGTCTCTATCTCTCTTTCTCTCTCTTTGAACATCGTCGAGAACATTCGAGCGATTTTGAGTTTTTAACAAATACTCGGCTGTCTATTTGAACAGAAGCATCGTTAGAACATAATTAATATTAAATTTTGCGTGGATCTTTGTAACTTTACAGTTACAGTCGGATACCTTTGTATCAAACTAACGTATTATTATTAATTTTTAAGAGCAGAATATCGACAATTTCTGTCGGCGAATTTCACGTCGAAAGCCACATTATATGGCCTGATTAAATGAAACGCGGTTGCCTGGATGCCGGCGAACGAAAATTGGCACGAGTCTCGAGTTGAAGACAAACGTATATACGGGGAATATAATTTCGAGTGTGTACGGCGGTTGTGGCAACTAGTTCAAAGATACTAATTCGTAATGCACACGAGCGGACACTCTTCAACTTCTGATGACCTTTCACCAAGGCAAGTTACCGCGACGCGATGTCGACGTCGTTGGGGAAACTCGCCGCGGTACGCTAGATTCGGACCGTGTTGTCTTGTTTGCAACGTCCCTTGTACCTTTCACTGGAAAATGTAGCCCCGGTCCTTTGAAACCGCCGCGCGGCCAGCCAGGCCCTTAATCAAAGTTGACAAAGTTACCGGCGTTCCTTCCGCGGTACTTATTTACAGAATTTGTTCGCAAACGCCGCATGAAACAGAAATTACGAACAGGTTTAGCGGGAGTCACCTCGACCACCAAGCCACGCCTAACACGGAAAACTGATTTCACCCGTGCGGACAATTAATGAGGAACAATCCGCGGCGACCAGCTCGAGGGAGCCTCGATAAACTTGCGCGGTTATCCCGAGCGAATATTTATGACGAGGGGGACTCGTCGATCCTCGTTTTCTCATTCACGCGCTCTCGAATTTCGTCCGTCGAAGGATAATCGAACAATAGAGGCGAAAAATAGAGGGTGATTGTTCCGCTTTACGTTACTGGGGTAACTGGTAAATAAACTCGCGATTTTAAAATTGTTAAATAAATTGTTAATTTTATCTTAACTACTAGATAATTTAAAAAAGACAAACGAGACGAAAACGAACGAGTCTGCAACAATAACAATAACTATCTACCATGTCACGAATCCTGTCATGAAACCTCGGCTATTTCTTCGACTAAAACTACCACTTGCGGTATTTGAGCGTTTCATTCAGTCCCCGACAGTTACCTCTCATCGCCTTCGTTCCTTTCAGCTCGTCCCGAATGCCCTGGCGTCCGAAAAATTCCCGGCGAGGCTACATTTCTCAACCATTGTGCTACCCTGACAAGATTAGAATGGGAATTCAAGCCGGTGAATGGGAGGCGGTTGTGAGGGGCGAAAGGGCGCGATCCAGCACGCACAATTCCGACGATGAGCACTTGAACCACGTTTTCCACGTAACGTTTCGCGGTCGGCTGACTTCTGCCAGCGTGCGGATGCCTGTCGTGTAACGCGAGGCCGTGGGCCCGCACAACGAAAAGTGAAAATTCTCGCGCGATCCCAACCCATAAATTTCCACGGAGGACACGGCTTCTCGTCGTGGATAAAGCGTCGCCGGAAACTTTCCAGCTGGCTAAAAAAGCGAGACACGCGGAACCGGCCGCGTTTACGCGTGGCGAAAAAGCGGTGGCTCGAGAGGCAGGGAGCCGGTGATGAAAGAAGCTTTTTTTCTCCTCGCTGGAAGGGGCTATTTCTTCCGCGAGACGATATTTCATAATTATCACCGTCCATTCGCCCCTTTTTTCCCCTCTTTTTTTTTCGTTTTTTCCTTTCTTTTCTCTCTCCGCCCTCCGCTTTTCCTTTATACGCGTAATTATTGCGACTGCACAAAGTGGGCTCTCACGGTCGGATGCGGTAACACGTTGGCCTGCATCTTTAACAAGATCGGCAAAATAATCGGGCCGTGTTCAACGCTGCTCTAAAGCGTTTTAAACTTTCACGGTCTTGCCCCTTCTTTTCTTCAACGGCTCTTTCGGCCGTTTTAACCTAAACGGGGGGCGCAGTTCGCGCGTTTTATCTTGTTTTTTTCTTTCTTTCTCTTTTTTTTTTTTTTTTTTTTTTTTTTTTCTTCTTGTAACTTCGACAGTATCCAATCTCGCTTTCGCCAGACGCTTTATTTAAATCGCATTCGGAATACATGAATTTGCAAATTACCACGTGAATTATTGATTGTACAAAAGCGCGCAACTATCGTCCACGGTCCGACACGTGAGCAAATAAAACAGTGCGTTGAGGCCTGATTTAATCTCCCGGCGTGCAGCATTCATGAATTTCAAAACATTTTCAGACTTGGGGCCCCGGTTCGCATAGAAAAGTGGATTCCATCCTGTACCGAAATTCGTCGCGGCGTACTCAAGGCAACGCCGGCCCGCGATGAATAATTACACAACCATCTCGTTGCAACAATATCGCAATAACGTTCTCCGTAGCAGTTAAACAGTAATTTCCGTTTCGCGTCATTTGTTATGCAACGTGTTCCAGTCAACAGTAATGCATACATTTATTTGTACAATAATTGCTGAAACATCAACGGGCGCATTCGAGGTAGAAACGGTGGCGACGAATCTAGAATTTAATCCACGGGAATTCCGAGTAATCTAATCACTTTCTAATATCTAGTTTCAGCGTGAATAAAGCAATTCTGTATTTAATCCTTTTGACAGTAAATTTTCTAACTCGTGAGAAATACGTGTACTATACGTGTACTATACGTGTATGATGGCAGAACCGTAACTTTGAAGAAATTTTATATTTTTACTCAAAGTTTCACGAACAGATATCTGTGTTTATCTCAAATGACTCAATTTTACAGCAATTGTTAAATACGACGAGAATATAGCACATTTAAAACAATAGCCGAGAGAAGTGAAATTTTTTCAAACATAGCTAAACTGATGCAATCTTTATAACGAGTTGAATCTCCATTCCTCTGTATAACTTCCACCGACGATTAGGCAATGATTTGTACAACATTTTCACAACATAATACTGCCTCTAGCCATTTGTCATGGAAGTGATAATTAAAGCCACCAAGAAGCCATCAAAATTAAGCCTTTTCTCGAGAAACTATCAACGTGTCATTCAAAAGTCTATTAATGGAAAAACAAATCTTTTTCGTCCGACAGCGTATTTCTTCAGACGACTCTATACGAAAGACAAATCTGAAAAGATCAATTGGGTAATGTGAAGATTAAGAAGAAAGCAATCCTCGTTGCTAGATCGTGCGAGTGTTTATGCAAATTGATGTTTTTACGAAGAAAAATAAATGGAAACTAAACAGAGATACACTTGAGATACTTTCTCATTCACATTCGCCCACATCGAGCCTTTTCACCTTCAAATTTTCCAATAAATACATAGTCCAGCGACTTTCGAATCTGACAGTCCTCCAATCGCGAGAAACCTGCTTCGAGTCAAATACCACGCCCGATGCCACCCCTTGACAATCGCTCGCCAAAAAGGGACCAAATTCTCGCCACGTTTTTCCCGCTGCACATACCATGAGTACAGCAAATCGGCCGTCATTCGCGATTTCACTCCATTGTAAGGCCGCGGGAAATGAAGGAAAGGGAATAAGAAAAGTATCTACTCTTCTCTTCTCCTCCCCCCCCCACACACACACACTATCTATCGATCTCCCCTATGTGGATTTGGTTTTATATTGTATGTGTGAGAATGCATGAGAGTCGAGCAAAGTCATGAGTGTTGTGAGACAATTGCGAGTGTGTTGTGTGATGCGTTTTTTTTTTTTCAGAAGCGAGCAGAGGAGAATTCATTGCGAGTCTAAGTTGAGAAGTGATATTAATCTGTGAGAAAGTGAATTCATAAGTGATAGTTATTATATACATTATTCAATTTATATATATATATATATATATATA